CGGCGACACGTTCGCTTTCAACTGATCGATGAGGAGGCCGATCTTGCTATCCTCAACTTCGGTACTGTTGCCCTGGGCAAAGGTGATTAAATTTGCCGCGGCCTCTCGTTCAGCAGCGGTACGGGAGTTGAGAATCGCAGTAGTTGTGTCCTCTTCTATAACTTCTGGATTCTGAGCTGCATAAAACGCGTGGGCCTTGGACGTAAGTTCGTCATGTCGTTGGCGAACATACTCATAGTATTTGTCAGCGGCAGCTTTTTTCATCGCAAGTTCTTCGTTTTCCCTGCAAGTATCATTAGATAAATTGAAGTGAGACGCATTATCCAAAGATATACTGACCGTTTGACTCGTTGAATAAAATCGAGCTTAATCCCTTTCTCCGAAACACGATACATGATACCCTCTTCCTCCTGCTCCTCTATCTTCTCATCTTCTTCTTCATCCGGAAGTATTTCAACGTCTATCAGACGAGGGTTTTTCGGACGGCGAACACGTTTTACCAAATCGTACCCCTCCTCGTCTTGAACAATGAAAAACTTGTCATGCCAACTGTGGTCGGGGCACATCCAGCTATGATATGTACGATCACTCCCCGGCTTTTGGGCGGGAGGTATAGCTAGAGGAGGATCTATACAATCCATATGGAAGGCGAGAGGACAAAAATCGCATTGAATAATGGGCCGACGACCGTTAGTGGTACGGCCACAGCCATGGCAGAGAATGAGTTTGCCTTTCGCATCTACTGTTCTCAGCAGGAATGGATCATCATACCGACCAGAGCGATTCCTCCCGCTCCGAGGATTGATTCTGGGAAAGGGTAAGACTTCATCGTATTGCCCTTTATCGCCCGTTTGCACCCCAGCAAAATAGCTACGCAAGCGAGAGGGAAGAGCAAAGTCTTTATGCGGAACCTTGTCTACAGCGACAAGCAATGTACCCATGGGTTTCAGGATGGAGCATCTTGGACAGAACCAATCCCCTTCTGGCGGGTTGGCGGGATCCAGGGGTGGATTAAGACAGGAGAAGTGGAATGAGTTCACACATCCGTCGCAGCATAAAAGCTGGCCGCTTCCGTTGCATTCACGGCAGAAATCATTGTTCTCCTCACCATTCTCCCTGTTGACGGCCATTGTAGGCGTCAGGCGCCGGTTGTCTCCAGCATCGCTACTTGCCGGACTTTCTGATCTCTCTCTCTGTTCGGCAACGGTTCCTTCCGCGGCGGTCTGGGGTTGGCCGGCTGTAGTGGCAGAAGGGGTTGTGACACCTGAAGGGGGTTCAGAAGCAAGTGATGAACGGAGTCTACTCTCAGTAGCAGTGATTTTCGGAAAAGACCTTTGTAAGCGAGTACGTTTAGCCTTGACGGCTTCTGCCGAGAATTCGGGATTTTCTTCCAATGCACGCCTGCGCTGAAGAGTAGTGTCACTAGATGGAAATACGGAGCGGCGACTTGGGGGTTCTGAAGCTTCGCTATCAACGGCCTTCTGTGTAGACTTGGAGTGCTTTCCTCTGCCGCGAGAGCGAGCGTTCGCCGCTCCCGGTGCCATTCCTGGGGCGAATGTTTCGACATCGAGTGACTTAGCAGAAGACAGCGAAGACACGCTACTGGCAGATCGCGTACGCCCCATAGCTGGCGCTACAGTAGGCAATACTTCTGTATTTTCCTCCGACTGCACCTCTTTCCAGGCAGTGCGCATCACAGTTTGGAACACTGACTGTTCACGGGCCCCAGGATTCGCTCCACAAACACCCTCCAAAACAGATAGAGCAAAAGAATCTTTGCCACATGTCTCCCAGAGGCGGAGTAGTCCACGAATGACAGGACGATTACCAGTCTCAGAAGCCATATGGAGGGCATTTTCAACTGCGGATCGGAGTTTCACTACATCAACATCAGTTGAGTTAGGGACAGGAAGTGTCGTAAATGCAGTCACATCCTGCGCAGTATTGTCCTTTGGAATGACAGGTTCAGGTATCGGTTCTTCAGCAGGTGTCAATGGTGTTTGCGGCTTGCTGATCTCTTTATCCCCGTTCTGGACTGGCCGCTGATCTTTCTTGGTAGTGGTATTTTGTGTACTTGGCTTGAGAGGGCCTAATCCTGCCTTGCGCATGTCTGCTGCAGATGGCATCGTCCCTAAGGGGCGCATAGTTGCAAGGACTGGGTTGTTGTCACTCGAAACAGCTGACCATGGCGTATCTCTGTAGCTCGGAGCCGGGGCCCTCACCGGTGGCTCAACCCATTCCGCGCCTTTCTCTGACAATTGTGAATCGCTGACCGTGTCTGATATCCCAGTCTTAAACTGCCCTAGTTGCGATTGATTTTGAGATGGTGTTTCATGCGGAGGATCGGTGGCTACACGGCTGTGTCTGCCCGTCCGTCGTTGCTTTCGAGGCCTCGTAGATTCGTTGAAAGAAGAAGCGGGACTCGCGTCATCTGGCGCATGGAGTGGTGTTGACGGGCGAGAATCGTTCGACCTGACATGGGACGAAGAGCGGAGATTCGGAGCCATCGTTGTAGAACCAGGGCTCGAAAAGTTGCAATACCTGGGGTACACAAGGTTAGCGCAAAGGGCCATGGAAGTCATTTTGTTTATGTAGAAACAAAGAAACACTCACTAATAAATAGAACCCGCAAGCAGACAGCGAAGGTGCCCTGCGGTGCCGGTGGGAGACGTGGCCAGCCCGCGCGCTGTCTGCGGGTTGATGGGAAGGAGGAAGATTGCGGAGTTGGAAGCGACGGGAGTTTTCGAGGGCGACTCGGTCCCAATCACGCCTCGTAGGGGGTACGCCGCGGAGACTGCCAACCAACCACAAAAACTTCACGCGTTAAAACTAGCAGGCTTCTAGTCAGAATTGAGTAGCCACATCTCAGTTTGTGATTTTAATCATCTAATTTTCTTACGAAACTCAAAATGAGGGATTCTTACCAGTAGGTCGTTTTGACTCGCCGCAGGGATCGTGGAGATAGCGAGACAATAGATCCACTGAGGCCTATTTATTGAAATGAGGGGGTTTGCCTTTAGTAACCTTTAAATGATGTTCTGGAGCCTTCGTAAATCCCTTGTGATGGAAAGTCGTGTTGTTTAGGAAAACGACGTGTTCTTTGTCTTGAATAGGTTAATAGATGATGCACCAAAAGCAGGTTTTGTAAGATGCGAGCAATCGACCATATGCATAATAACGACGACAAACAGGGGAATGTGCAAGCAAGAACTTTCAAATGCAAATGCTACCAAGACTTATCGCCGTGTACATAGTGGATCCCCTAAGGGCAGTACGGCGGTCTCCTGACAACGGACGAACAAAGGGGTAGACGCCGGCAGCCAAGTTGATATAGAGAAGAACTCACCAAGGATGTGAGAGTCTTTTGAGGTAAACCCTGGCAAAATGCAAGGAAAGGCGATGCGTGGTCTTTGCTTGTTGCGTAGATGCCTAGACACGCCAGAACGGACTGGACCTCGAAAGGGAGTGCCTAGCAGGGCTTGGTTTGAGAGGTCAAAAGTGGAAGATGCAAGGATAGGATCTTCGACAAGAGTTAATATCGTTCTCGTTTCTTGAGAAGAGAGACGATAGATGGAAGTAGCGCGGAGGGAAAGCAGACGTTGGATGATAGAAGAGAAATGAGAATCCCAAAGGAGAAGTCCCAGAAGGAAGCTAGGATGGACAAACAGGACAATAGAATTCACAGCAGAGGAACCTGAAATGTAACACAAATATGTCTGCCACGCGAATGTGATGGACGCGATGAGTGAGGTTTCTGTGTTGCTTCAAGTAACAAGCAGACAGATGACAGCCAGGAGGGGTTGGCCTTCATGCACAGGTGGATAGATGCCAGCCTACCCCACGGGACCAACAAAGCATACACTACCCAAGAATCAATTTAGCTCAAGTAACTGAAAGCGAGAACTGGGGAGAAATGAACGGGAGATTTGTAGTGAGTGTGATTTTCAGAGGATGAAAGGGTCTGAGGTGAGCCAATAGCAGGGACAGAGAAATAACGCTGCAGACCGACAACCACAAATAATGAGCTCCGGATTTCTTTACATGCGCAAAGATGCTAGCCCCAGCTTGAAAATACGGGCCTTCCAACTGGGAGGGGTCGAGAAGGTAGATAAGACGAGGGGACTGGAAGGGGTGAGATTGATGATGGAGGATTGAAGAGGAACCAGGATTGGAAACGGAACAGCCAGCAGCCCTGCTTTTTTTGGCCCACACCACCAAATGACAACGCCGGATGACCACCACACTGCACCACAGTCAACTCAAGCCCAACCTGTTTCAAAGATGGAGATGCGGATTCTTCTGATAAGACAAGGGAAAATAGGTTCGATTTAATCCCGTCCATGAAACCATCAGAAGCGTTTTGGGCCATGGACACTCATTGGTAGCTGCCTTATCTGTTGGCTACACTCGTCGGAGTGAATAATTACCTGATCATATCAAACCCTGTCAGGCAAGAGGTCAAAGGTAGCGAACAAGGGAAAGGGACAAAGTAATGGCTTTCACCCTGACGGGGACAAAGAAAGTGGCCATTGCCGAAACTGAATGGGTTCCACGAGTGTATCCAATGCTCCACGATACGTCGTTGTAGAAACTAGGACGGGAGGGGAAAGATCAGACTGAGAATTCTCGAAAAAACAGTCCTCTCCTCTCTCCTTTGCTTTTCTCCAGGGCAAGAATGCGCAGACCTCAACGCTGTCAACAATACGCAGCCATGGGGCCGATATGTTGGTTGCCGCGGAACCCCAGGCTGCGCGTCCGACATCACTGAACGACAACATAGATTAAATAACCTTCAGTTAGTAGAGCTGGTCCTCCAGGTTGACAGTGGGACAATAGTAACCTCGAGATTATCCGGGCTACAGGAAAGACAAAAACGCAGACTATGCAGGTTGAGCTCATGGAACCGTAAGCAGAAATTCATAATTCTCTTTTTATATTCACCTCATACATGACTTTCGCGTTTTTCAACTAATTACGTGCCAAGGGCTTTCAAGAGGGCACCGTGGTAAAAGACAGGAAATCTTATATGGCTTCTCCTATCCTCCTATGCCTCTCGCTCCATGTGCTCGCGGAACAAATTCGCCTCTCTCCAGCGTGGACAAAGGGATTTGATTGACATGAATGATCAACATCCTGGAGCACTCCGAAAAAGGAGCTCCGACCATGGCCTGGAGCAATTCCATCTGCCTATCCAACGCTTCACTAGATATGCCAAAGCTGACCGAGTTAAACGGCTAATTTACTCCTTATCGCCAGAGTCGGCCTTCTTGGCGGCCTTCTTCTTGTTGTTCTTGTTCTTCTTGGAGCCAGTCGACTTGGACAGAGGACGCTCAAGGATCTTAAGGATTTCCTCATCCTCGATCTTCTTGTCGGACTTGACCTTGGTGAAATCGGGAGTGGCGGGAGCAGTGAGCTTGGTGATACCATTCTTGGTGATAGCTACAGATCGGTCAGTCAAATGAAAGAAGGGATATGGAAGGAAAGGCTCTGGGGGTTACTCTGATGCCTGGGAATGATTGTACATACCAATGGTAGTCAAGAGGCGGGAGACAGGGGCGTTGTCAGCATCACCGGCAGGCTCGTACTGTCTCAGGACACCGCCACGGACACACTCGACGACACCGACCTTAGCGGCCTTCTCGTCATCCAGCTGGCGCAAGCTGAAGGGGAACTGGCCGAACTTCTTGACGATCTCCGAGAGAGTTTGTCTCGAGCTGGGACGCTTGAGGCCGTAGGTGGTAGTGGTACGGCGGTGCAGGGTAGAACGAAGGGGCAGAGTCTTGACCTTTCCAGATCCAAGGGAGAGACCGATTTCAACACCCCAAACCTCACCAACGTCGGGGACACCCTCACCCTTCACGCCAGTGCCGGGGGAGAGAATGATCTTCTTCTCAGCCTCAATCTCGTTGCGCTCGAAGAGCCAGCTGGTGGTGTTCTCAACCACGTTGCAGTCGTAGGCCTTGGCAACCTTCTCGATCAGCTGGGAGATCTGAGCCTGAGTGGGAGCCCTCTCGGCGGCAGCCTTCTTCTTCTCTTCCTCGGTACCGGTAGCCAGAAGACCAGGGGGCACCATAAGACGGAGCAGGAGCTCGTTGGCGTAGTGAGTCGCGGTAATGAGGTCAGCCTCGCGGCCGGTCACTTCGTCCTGGCCGACAACAACCTGGTCGCAAACAATGGTTCCGAAGCCATCGATCTGGGCACCGAGCTGAATCTTGGCGATTTCACCGGCCTTCAGGGTAGTCTCGGCCTCCTGGGCGTCGGAAACCAAGGGGGTGTATGGGGTCACATGGGAGCTGGGAGAGACAGTTGTGGGGTGACCGACACCTTTTTCCGGGAACGACTTGTTAATGTCATGCGCATGGGGCTTTTAACTAGCAGTAACATGGACTACGATGGTAACGCACCCTTGGTGATCTTCTTGCCCTTGTAGACCTTAGCAATTTCCTCTTCGAGAAGCTCATCACCCTTCTGGCAGATCTCAACGATCTTGGCTCCCTCCACACACAGGGCTAAAGCACGGGATTAGAATATGAATCTAGACCTTGGAGAGCGGCGGGCTCGCCACGGTATGTAAACCCGGACACTACGCACCTGCGACGGCATCGAGGACCTTGTGCGAGATAGTGGCAGCAGTCTTGTACTTGGTCAAAGTATCGGGGTTGTTGAGGGTGTAGTCTGAGATTGGTTCGAGGTTTTGATTAGTTTATGACACAGTGCTCCGGAGGGTACATTCAAATAGCAATAGAAGCACCCGTAGATAGAGAAAATAAGCTATCCATGGAGTTCCCGTGTTCCTCTACAGCTTTCGAGCTGCTAAACGTGCCGCCAACCGAACCCACGCCATGACGACGAAGCAAGCGGGAAGGAAACCCACAAACGGCCGGAGCCATTTTCAATCGGCAGAAAGAGGAGGGGTACTCAGAGTGAACACTTACCAACCTCGGCGGGGGCCTGCTGGGCCTGAGTGTCAGCCATTGTGTATGGTATAGATGGTCCTCGCTGTGGTGCGAGGGGTCGATAACGATCAAAGAGGCACTAATCTAGCGGACGTTGGGAGCTCACGAGGAGAAGAAGGAAAAATGGGCTGAAACGGAGCTGGAGAACTCAGATGGAGTCAAAGTATTTACTAGTAAGAGGAGTCCTTCCTTTCCTTACGTAGCAGTACACATTACGAGGTGTCGGCGGGGTCTTTTTCTTGGGTTTTTTGCCCGCGCGGGTGGGGTTTTTGCAGGATGATTTCACTGCAAGTAGGGCTTTGTATTGGTATTACCAGAACGTCACGAGACCGCCTGCCGCAATGTTCTCATCCATTCTTGCCAAGTTTTTCGCTGAGCTCGAAGCTTTGGATGGCCTTTTGCTTTCCAGTCGAAAGCTACTACCAATCTATTCTGTCCTATTCCGCTTATAAGTACTCGAGCCATTTGCCAGTCTTAGGTACCCCGTATTCTCCCATTACACACAATGTCGTCTGAAATGAGGAGTTGATAGTGTGCGTATTGTAAGGCACAGCCCGCGGAGCAAACATGAAGCTCCTTGTATGACATCACCAGATGATCACTTAATCCAATTTCGAAACATTTTCATTCGATCTCAAAAGCAAGGGCTCGACCCCAGTTTCATCTATCTTTTTTGACTCAGAAGAGAGAATATGAACTATTAAATGCAGGATAGCAAGCAGGTGTGGATGAGAACCAAGTCTTGAATTTCTAAGAATGGCTTAATGTCAAAATCTTGCCATCTAACGGTCCTATGGGGTAGTGGTTATCCCACCGGATTTTGATGAACAATATACATATCCTGTATATGCATAGGAAGATCGAATCTTCCGGTAACGCCGGTTCGAATCCGGCTAGGACCTTTATTTTTTTTATTTTTTTTTTCTTCCTAAACCCCTACTATATACCCTTTACATCACCAGGCAATCGCTAGAGGGCTCTTCCCAACGTACTTGATTTTGTAGACATCGAAGGCTTTTCTTTCTGATCTAGTCCTCACTGCGTGTAGGCCTGAGCTCGCCCTAAGCTGGTCACTGAGCAAGGGCTGCCGTAAAGTATATTTTTAACTACCAACGGTTGCATAGTCACAATGAGCATCGTCATTCGCATAACTAGATACTCTCGGACAGGACGAAGACAGCCAAGGGTAGGGAGTGTAGATGCCTGATGCTCCCTGAAAAAGCTAGAGTCGGCAACAGTCCTCGTTGTGTTGGGGAGGTAGGCTGCGACTTCAACCCCCTTGGGTGTCATCTTCAAGATAACAAACACAGGTGGAGTAGAAGTCTTGGCAGTTCTACGAATCCAGTATTCGAGAGTAGCAGCCTCGAAGGAAGCCGAGAGTCTACCAATTGCTAGTAAAAGTAAGTTCTTGTAACAACAGTAAGATCCATAAATAGAAAATATCGAGCAAAATGGGTCAATACTGCGACGTGACTAACACCGCTCCATCGTTAGATCTAGCTATTATTCCGCATCAGTAAACTTAGTACTGATCACTGAGTGCGCCCTGAGTGCTCACTGACGGGAGTACTGATCTGTGACAGAGAATACTCACTAAGCAAGTCTCTGAACACCCTCATAATAGCTTGAATGTCCCCCAGAAGGGGAAAGTTCCAGTGACTCTAGAAAATCAAGTTCGCATAAGAATGTATACTACCTAGTAAACAAATGGTGAATGAAACCCTAATATTACACATTCTCTGCTCAAACCAATATATTACATTGTAACTTCCTGCTGTAGTAACTTCAAACTGGAATACAGCCAAACGCTTTCATAAATGCAAAATAACGCCACCATCGGAGCTCCGTGGAGCACACCGAACACCGTACCTATTCGTACGGAGACTGAAGCGATTAGGGTCAGAGGAGCTGATAGTGCTGTAGAAGACAGGGTTGCAACTTACGTCCAGTACAAGCTGCCGGTACAGTTGAATTGACAACTACGAATGAAATCCTCCACGTCCCTCTTGACTCCTAGGGATAGTGAGAACCTATCTTCCTCCTCGATCCCATCCATCAGTCGGTTGGCCGCAACATTGAATCGACCCACAGATTGGATGAGCGACCGAATTGCATTGTCTATAGCCGCTTGCGGGCTCCCTAGCGACATGCACAAGATAGGGATAAGGCTATAAATGGAATCCTGAGCCTATATCTATTATTAGAGCTGGTTAACCGCCGAGCTGGCCAATCATGGGACGTACCATCTCTTTCTTCAGGGAATATATATCATTGACTCTTTCATGGGGAAACAAATGTTAGTGTGCAGCTCTATACAACTGTTGCCTCTATGGCTGGAGCTTTTCATCTTGGATAAAATGGTGGCTTACATTGAAACGATGACGTTCACTTCATTCCATATTGCTCTCATATCATAATCCTCCATGATAGCACGGGGTATCACTGACCGAAGACTATATCTTTATCGAGGCATCCGGGGTGTCAGCCATGTAATTAAAACATCAATATATACTCACTCATTAACAGCACATATCACACCAACTGCACTGGTGCCCATTCGCACTCTCCAGTACACTTCGGGACTGGGGATCTGCCCTTCGAGTTTTGCTTTCTGCTCCATATGTGACGTTACCAGGAAAAGAGACATCTCCTTAAGAAACCCGTGCCGTTGTTCTGAAGGCCAAAGCGAGTTAGAGCCATTTCAAATTCAGGAAATAGGCAGAAGAATAAAGCAAAAGGCAAAAGCAGCAACGAACCATAAGTATATGCATCACGAAGTGCTTCGCCAATCACATCAAAACTTTGGACAATAGGGTCGTCTGGCACAAAAATAGAGTCATTGTAACTACGGGGTAAGCCTTTAGTGAGATCCAGGTCAAGACATTGAGCCACAAAATAAAGGGTTTCACGACGGTACTGCTCAGCAGCTTCAAAGTCGTTGCTCAAGGAATCTTTCGTGTCATCATCAATTTGGTCATCCCAGGTGACGAGCCAAAGGGACAAGAAGGCGAGAATATAAAGTTCCTTGAAGCCAGCCAGGGGCCACCGCGTCGCGGCGAGATGAGCAAAGTCACACCTCTTGAGCTTTGTAGCCTTCACTGGCTCTGGGAATAGGCTTTTGATTATTAGTGTTGGACTTTCTCAGGGTCCGGGTATAAGTTGAATAAAAAAGTAATGAAAGATAGAACGAAGCAGACATGTATAATGGATGTAGTGTCGAAAAGCAAACAAACAGTTTGTGATAACCGATGGAATTGAGCAATATACCTGTCAATTCTTGCATTTATCACAGGAACCAAAGCCCTCCAGTGAGGATTAACGGCTCCAGGCCAAGATGAGAAGATGGGTAGTAGGCTGGGAACAGAGACAGGCTGTGCCCTGAGACGTTTAATTAACTGAGAGTGAGTATCAATATGTGTCTCCATGTTTCAAAGAGGGCTGTGGCCAGTATCAACAACGGAGGAGAATAATGAAAGTGTGATTGTGCTGCCCACGCTCTGTCATGCGCTGAGTGCACCACTCCTATTTATATAGTCTCCATATACTCTAGAGAGATTGGGTACCCTAGTGGCTGCTGGCTATGCTATGGAGGATAAGACCCTGAATGCGTTGTCAATTCAGGAATTGAGTTGAGCCATGGAACATAGGGTGTTTCCCAAGCCGGAGATCCTCGTGAAGGATTCGCACTTTCCGAGTACTAACGGGCAAGTTTAGCAAATCTCAAGTCCACGGTAGCAATACCAATCTACGAAAACAGGATGGCCAATCCGAATAGATTTATGAGCCACCCATCTTTCCAAATGACCATTTATGGCAGTATACATGACACCGTTTCATAGGTGGCATGGCCATGATAGAGGCATGATAAGCAGGAGTCACTAATACTTTAGCGTTATCCAGCAGACGCAGTTGCTGATCAATCAGAGTTTGAGTATGCAGGGTGAGCTCTAAGAACTGTATGACAGTGAGACAGGTCTCAGTCTGCATAATTAGATCCAAGGGTTGATCTTCGCGTGGTCAAGATCTAGCTGCATGAGAGTGATACTAATGGCGTGATAGATATTCAAGGAAAGCCAGCGCAGATCAACGGCTTCCGCAGATCATGAACAAGTTGAGTATACAAGGCGAACCACGTGGAAAAGGCGCCATATCTATAAACTATATTAGACCGAATTCTGGAGCTTACTGATTGTTGGCCAATGGTGGTACTGTGTATAATGAAAATCACGGGGGCGGAGATCTGGCACGCTAGCTGGCGAGGTGAGACACTGAACCATTAAAGGGATTCAAAAGGTTGGTGGTAGCCGGTCATTCCGGTGTTGTAATGTACATGCCATCCACGTGTCCCTTCAGCTGGAAATTCTATACTCCGTAGAGAAAATGGCGATTCCAAGCTCGGCCTAAACACGGTGCCACTTTTTGATCAGAGGTTGCTCTAGGGGTGCGTGCGCGGAGTGGTTTGTTGGTATAACTCCCGCAAGCGGTTCGTGGTATTAGTACGTCACAGCCTCGGTCGAGCTTGACCGAGCACTCCCCGAAATTGCACGATGCTTTGATATCCATGGATTATCTTAATGTAATACTACAATCATATTGTAGCTTGCTAGGTAACAAGTCATATGATAACTAGCACTTGTAGAAGCTTCTATTGCAACCATGTCGTCCGGTAACATATTGAAATTCACGGCGGTAGTAACTCTTAGACCTGGCTACACGTCTGCCTCCTACTGTAACGTCATGCAGTTTCAACACTCTCCTGTTGCACTTCCTCCTTCACACACTGGACCTGTGCATTTAAAGCCTTTCGGATCTTCCACATTTCCACATAGATATTCTGATGCTGCCGTTCCGTTTGTCAGTTCCAGATTGATGCCAGAGAGCGTAATATCAGTACATGGTGCAACGGCACTGCACTGGAAACTTGCGACTCGAGTAGATTCTGTGGTACCACTCAGATTGAGAACCGAGATATCACGAATCTGGAACTCCGAGTTGGTGCAGTTGCCTTCCCCAGGGGCGCCGCTGAATCGAGTACACTGCGAGATCGCAACCGCAGCCCCACGAAGAGATGTGGCTTTGAGGTCTTTGAGCGTCATATTGGAGATATCTACATAATCGAGGTAGTTAGGTTTCTGCTTCAAGAGCATGCATTGCGGGGAAGTGTGTCTTAAGCGTAAACGTACACCCGAGGCCGCCTCCGCCACCATTAGGTGGATAGCCGTTCTGATCAGCTGTCCATGTTTTAACGTACACCTATTCATCACAAGCACCCGTCAATAAAACAATTGATGTGTACATTGTGGGGCATTGCCTACCGCATGAAGGGTGTTGTGATAGTTGATATTGCTCACGTTGAGCCTCTCGATGGTTTCGAACTGGTCTTTGTACTGACCGATGCTACCCAATGCAATTCCCAATCCATTGTAGAAAGTGGAGTTTGTGATGGTGATGTCCGTGCTGTTTGCCTTAAGTGAGATACTATCATCACCATTGTACACAGTCCAGTTGTTGAACTTGATGTGGGAGGATCGAATGGTATCTGCTCCATCCGTGTTCGCTGGTTCTGGTTAGTGAGGTGGTGTTTGTGCTGGGTCCAGGATAAGGCACTCACAGCTCGAGACAATATTTCCGGTGTTGTTCACAAGTATGTTGTCGAGTTCAACGTGATGGCTATATATGATAGACATTGTCCTGCCAGGGTTTTAGTTCAATAATTTGAAGAGAATTCAAAGACTACTCTACCACATCTGGCTGCGTAGGAATCTAAGGCCTCGGACCACTGAATTTGAGAGACCATTGAAAGTGATGGCGTGTGGTCGACCGGGATAGTTGGACGTATTGGGTTGCTCTTTTATCCATTGATACCAGGTGTCTCCGTTGCCATCGAGCGTCCCTATACCATGGCCATCGATCCGAACATTATTTCCTCCAAGAATGAAAGCAGTGGATTGGTTCTGATACCCGACCGGTAAAGAGTGATTTAACCAGTATTGAATATTCGTACTCCACTAGAGAATTCAGCGTAAACTCATGCAACTATGAATGAAGAAGAACTCGCAAGACACACCAGCAGTGTTCCTCCAAGGTCAATGTCGACATCCTCCAGCCACGTAATGTTCATAACAGAACCGATATGGTATGTCGTTGGCTTGAATACTACCTTTCCCCCACGTCCACATTTCTTAAAGGCGTGTACAATCGCAGGGGCATCATCGGTGGCGTTGGAGCCCCCGGCCGGTACAACACAAGTTTCTCTATCTGCAGACACACATGCCAACGCAGCAAGGACAAAAAACACTTTTGAAAAAAGCATCGTTATCAATTGCGTGAATCGGACTTTTGAAGGGACGTATTCTGACCAGATCTATAACTAGAGAACTAGCTGTCGGTTATCGAATGAACCTTAAGTATGTACATACATCGGTAATAGTGGCCTGATTCCTCGCCTCCACGGCATGCATCCGTGTTGAGCTGGCGATCTTGAAGGGTCGGAATCTAATCTTGCACGAATGGAATGGCTGCCATTCCTCAGTCATAGGAAGTAGCTATCTGTAACGACCAGCGACTGGCGTTCTCTTTTTTTGACTTCGTGGGGAAAATGCGGGGTACCATGGGCTATTGAATCGGACTTCGGTCGATTTAATAGCGAGTGCTCATGAGAACTCAGGTCCATAGATGACGCGAATATCACGGATTCAACGACAGCACAGCCCCTGAAAGCGCTGTCTGATTGTAGCCTTTCGGCAATTACCTGGAGCTAACTGGCTGCCTCTGAGCCTACTTCCCTCCCCTTTTTTCTTTCTTTTTCTTCTTCTTCTCAATTCCCAGAAAGGGTCGGTGTTGATCAAATTTGTAAAAAACGACAGTGCGATATGAAGTGGTACGTGGTCACAGACACCGAAGTGCGTACTCTAAAGATAACGGGTGGCTGATCGCCAGCTGAGCTTGCTGTTAAGCCGAGAACGAAGAGCCCTTGGCCAAAACTCCACACCACGCCTGTAGTACTCTCGAGATAACCGTAAAGGATGCGGGACTATAATAGGAATACATTATAGCCACGGCGCAATCCTGAAGGGTCATGTTATCTCCAAGGGCTCCTTTCAATACGGAATCAGGGCCGTTGATCGAGGTTGAATGAGTATCACTTGGTTCAGTACTTCGTTCTCACCCTCCTGTTGCAATCGGCCATGCCATTCTCGTGAGAAGGTAACGGACCTTTGCCAAAGATTTGGAAGACTGGAAGGTCTCGTTGGGTAAAGACTTTTCCATTCACTATATGTTTAAAATGTATCGACTTTATAACTGAGCTTGATCCCGGAGTCCCTTACGTTCTACACGAGATGGGGCAGATTGGTCCCTCGTTCAAGTGCATTCATACACCGAATGAATCTTCAGTGAAGCACGCATATCGAGTCAACAATACTCAACTACCCATGTAGGAAGGAGATTAGCAATATGTGACAAACTGGGAAACTGTTCTTCCGCCGGCAACACAGACCAACAGTGATAGCCGTTAGAATAAGCAGCAAGTTTTAATGATGTGACGAACCAACTATGATCATCGAGGGAAGGATGGTGACCTATTGTTTAGACGACTTGACTAAAGACATCATCCACCCATTCTATCCACCGGCCTAATAATCTCTTATACAAATGTATCTAGACCCGATACGAGCGACGATCGATTCTATACAGGCTAAAAGATGATTAACAGCAATATATATTGATGTGATATCGGATGTTAATCTCTATAGATCATTACTCTTATACTATTTGTGATCGAGTCTACCACAGCCATATCTCAAATAACAGAAATGGCTTGACATACTGTAAAATGGACTCATGGGTAGCCCATGTGGACTGTTTTGTATCGCTTAAGAGAGTACTAACTCACCAGGTAGTGTAGACAGGGACTATGATATGTTAGATCTCAAAGCAGGCTCTTGATATAATAGACATGACTAATGAAAATATGTGCTGTTTGTCTCTCACTCGTCTGGAAATTTGGCGCTACATCCAATATCAATGGTGGATGAGGGGAGCCCAGAAGAGGAGAAGGACCTCTCCTCCAATCACAACACCGGTTGACCCAACTTCTCCTCATCCCATCAGTCCTATAGCATCGTTACTCCCTATAAGTCAGACCAGGAACGGTACGTCTAACAAGCGCAGGTGCCAAGGTTCTCAATCCTAGTGAAAATAGCAACCCATCACTTTCATAACTTGACCTGTGGTCAATCTTCGACCGTTGAACCATTTTGCAAATGAGATCTTCTACAGAGCTTCCATTCCGCATCTTGACGAATAATATTCGCTATGCGACAAAGTCACCATTTAAGGGAGAGAAGCCATGGGAAGAGCGCAGGCAACCCCTCCTAAATCAGCTGCTGTATAACACCCGCAATCAAGATGCCTTTATCTGCCTACAAGAGGTTCTTCATAACCAGCTCATCGATATACACTCCGGACTGAACTGTAAACATTCTACAGTCTCCGCTAAAGCTGGGAAAAATGCCTGGGCATATATTGGCGTCGGGCGAGATGATGGCCATGAAGCTGGCGAATACTCACCTATATTCTACCGACCGTCGGTTTGGCAGCTCCGACATTGGGAAACAGTCTGGTTGTCGGAAACGCCGCATGTCCCCTCAAAAAGCTGGGATGCGGCGTCCATCCGCATCGTAACGATTGGTGTTTTCACGCATCATACAAGTCGTCAGACTGTTCTGGCGATGAACACCCATTTGGACGACCAAGGATCCCGCTCCCGCTTTGAAGCAGCTCACATTATCCTTCGGAAGATTGATGAGTACCAGAGTGGAGAGTACAAAGATGTCATTTCCGCAGTGTTCCTGACAGGTGACTTGAACAGTGAAGAGACACAAGAGGCCTATTCAGTGTTAACAGGGAGTGAATCCACTCTGGTTGACACGGCAAAAACGGTCGATCCGGCGGAGCACTACGGTAACCATTTGACCTGGACGGGTTTCGGCTACGAGGAAGAAGACCCTTCTCGTATCGATTACGTCCTCGTAGGACCAGGGCCCGTGAAGGTGCTTAGCAACGGGGGCCAGCCATGGAAGGTGGAGGGGTACTCTGTGTTGGCCAATCGATTTGACGATGGTGTGTTTAACTCAGACCACCGAGCGGTTGTTGTCGATGTGAGACTATGCAGCTAGAAGAGAATGATGGGTCCCCACAAACCCATGGTCAATACGATCCAAGGACAGACTGCCATACATTAACTCGTGGATGCATACAAGATGGTAACATGGTTACCGCTCCTGAGGTTCCGACGCACCTGATGTAATTATGGAGAAAGATCAATACCGTACCTATACAGATAATTGAATCCACCGTGAAACATTCTTGTTACGCCAAGGGCCTTAGTGTATGATGCTACGGCTAAATAAGGTGTAGCTCACATCACAGGCCTTCCTAACTAGGAATAGTGAGTGGAAACGTGAAACGCGACCGAGACTGTTTTACAGAGCCAATACAGTAACTGTAAAGAACGTTTTGATGCTGCTAGATGGATGAAAAGCGTTGGAAAAGATGGATGGTGATAGCTTCAAAAAGATCCCAAAAGGGATGTTCTAAATCTCTGATCAGGATGGGTTTTCCTGGCGCTGCTGGCTCATGCCCAGCTCCCTCTCCGAACGTCTCCCCCTCCGCCGATGAACGGACAGGACTTGTAACGGCTGTTCAGTCCGCTCGGCGCTCCCCTTTCCTCCCTCACTTCCCTTTCTCAATCTCTGCAGCCCTTTTCTCTCCCCTTTTTTTTACCACCTCTCACGAAATTGGAGCATTGTCACGTCAGACCCCACGCACGGGGGCCACTAGAGATTAACTGGACCAAATCTTAAAGGGACAGGAAGTGAGATCTCCGAAAAAATAAGGACGCGAACGATCGAGACCTGGACCTGACCTCAACTGGGGGCGCGCCATCAGCTGATTTAGCCGTTCTCTTCCGGGTTCCTTCTCGCAAAGACCAAAGAAAGACCCATACCGGCAGACCCATCCACTGCTTGCTTGTGTGCTGTGCCTCAGTCCTGCGCTGGCCCTGGAACCTTCCTTCCTGCCTCGGGCTTTCCGCCGGTCTTTTCATTATTGCTTTGATTATCCTCCGTGGTTAGTGTTATTTTCCTTTGATTCGTCCTCTGCCTTTTCCCTTTATTTACCTCTCCCCGTTGGTTCTGGTATGTCTTCTCTACCTTCCACGTTGTCGTCCCTTTCCCCATTCTTACACCGCGGCTCTGCCAACCTTGGTGTCAAGTCTACTTCCATCTAGGTGACATGACGGCAACGGCGTGGCGGGCTTGCGGCATATCCTCACTACCTTATCTTGCGATGAATCGCATCCCCCGCTGCGTTGGTCGCGTCCCCATTGCGATAAGATCTCAATGTGCGGCCATGCCAAATTTTGCTAACCTGAACGCGGTCTGCCTCAGGTTCCCGTCTAAGCATGCTACCGTAACCGACTCATTATCCACTCGGTAGCCATCCTCCTTTGTTGAGCGCCATCTCGAAGGGCGAACCTTCTGTACAAGTGGCGCGTTCTGTTTCTTTCGGAACGATAATCGCGACTCCAGATCGAGCCAATATTTGATCATGCCGTCCCCGGAGCTTTCTCAATCGGGGCAACTGCCCAGCGACATCCAGCCGGACAGTGTTCAGAATGGATCTGTTCCGCCAATGACAACTGGGAATCACAATGACGAAGCTGCCTCAGGATCTCCTACGGAACAGGGACCGAATGGGTCAAATGCGATCACAGAAGGAAAGCACAACGCGAAAGCCGTTCTCGCAGCCTCGGGTGTGTCTTTAACACCCGCCGGCTCCAGTCATAACGCGTCCAATGGCAATCCGTCTTCCAGCTCCCAGTCAATTAATGCCAATGGCTCAGCAGCGAGCAAGAAACGATCACGTGGCGGCTCCGCCATTCATCCTTCCTCGCCGACAGAAGGGCTAGCCGTGCGTGTACGTGAAACCTCAAAGGATAAGATCCTAGCGGAGCAGTATGTGAACCGGGAGTTCCAACATTCTGCCTTGACGGCGTACCACAATCAGAATCAAGAGATAACAAACCAAAAACGTGCCGAACGGGACTTTTATCTGACTCTACGACGGGAGAATCATATGAACCCGGCGGCGCTGTATGGTGTCGGCTACGAGGGGTTTGGGAATGCTCGTACAGATCTGCGAGGTCAACATCCCCAGCTATTGTACCCCTCCAACCGGCGGCGACCAGGTAACCGGAGGACTAGGGAGCTACGGGTTTCGCGGAAAGATTTGAAGACACAAAGTGAACAAATCGAGGACCTTGTGCCCATTCGGCTGGACATCGATTGGGAGAAGATCAAGATCCGAGATACGTTCACCTGGAATCTCCATGATCGGGTGGTATCTCCCGACCTATTCGCCGAAAAGCTAGTGGAGGACCTGGGCCTCCCTCTTGAATCATGCGCTCCCCTCGTGCGGATGGTTTCACAGAGCATCCAAGAGCAGATCTGCGATTACTATCCTCAAATATATATGGAAGAAGATCCTCTCGACCCTCATCTCCCGTACAGTGCTTACAAGAACGATGAGATGCGCATCCTTGTTAAGCTAAATATCACCATTGGTCAGCATACTCTGATTGACCAGTTTGAATGGGATATTAACGACCCCTCCAACTCCCCCGAAGATTTCGCTGCGCGGATGACGGATGACCTTTCTCTGTCAGGAGAATTTACGACAGCGATTGCGCACTCTATCCGCGAACAATCGCAGCTATTCACGAAATCACTCTACATCCTCTCTCATCCGTTTGACGGACGTCCGATCGATGATCCCGATCTTAAGTCCGCTTTCCTTCCTACCCCCCTCGTATCATCCTTCAGGCCATTCCAGGCAGCCAAGGAATTTACACCTTATCTGTATGAATTGAACGAAGCAGAATTAGAACGTACGGAAGTTTCAATATCCCGTGATCAACGGAGGCAGAAACGCTCCGTTAACCGTCGCGGTGGACCCGCCCTACCCGACCTGAAAGACCGCCAAAGGACTATCCGCACTATGATTGTATCCTCCGTCATTCCTAATTCGGCTGCGTCTATTGATGAAAGTAACGTCTTCAAACGATCTGGGTCGAGTCGCGCCAGGCGCGCTGCTGTCGGGTTGCGGGACACTGGTGACGATTCTGATGACTCAGACAGCGACGAATCTTCAATCACAGGCTCCCCCGCTATCGGTCCTCATCTGGCTCAAGGCACTGCGCGCACAAGAGGCATGCGAGGGGCTGCCAGTGCTGCTCACGCTGCTCTGCGTGCGAACCTTGGTCAGTCTGCCACTCCGGAGCCTCACCACGAGGGAAGAGCATCTGCTAGGAGACGGGACTATCGCGAAGAGAGCATCGAAGAGCCAGAAAAACTAATTGTGAAGCTTAAGATCCCTCGTGAGAAGTTCCGTCAACTTCTTACCCACGGACCACAGTCAATACCGAGTCTCTCAGCGACTCCAGCCCCTCAGCCACCATCACATCAAGGCACGCCTCAAATTAGCACCCCGACCCCAAGCAACATGGCTCCACCGTCACACACCCAGCCTCAAGCTCGTGTCCCAAGTGTCGTCGGTACACCCACGCAACGGACCGTCCCCGCCCAGCAAATTGGAGCCATAGATGCAACCCACCCCCCTCAGCCGGGTGTCCCAGGGGTGAGTGATAAATAGCTCATGACAATTCTTTTGTTGATTCGCCTCAAGTGGACCGGCTTATCCGGCTATGGTGGGTGTATCAATCACGGTTCCCTGCTGACTTGAACTTCTCTTAGCCCCCGCCTCCAAGTTGGCTCGCGGCGGGACTCGCGCGACTAAAACGCTCGTATCCAAATGACTCCTTTGAAGGCGTAATGCGCTACACTGCTGTCGACACGGAGACAATGCTACCAGTAGCCAATGCCAATACCGAGTCAGGCCAGAAACTAAAATATCAATACCTCCCACGCATCCGGTGCCATGACTGCCCGGGCAAACTGTATACCCCCGGGCCAGGCACGACAGTCGATAATTTCGAGGTCCACCTTCGAAACCGACAACACAAAGAGCGTGTTGAGGAGAGAATCACCAGGACCGGCGGTGCAGGGGGCAACAATGCATCTTAGTCATGAGCTCAACGATGAAGCGCTTTCATCTTTATATCTTCCTCCTTCTCTCTCTTCTTTTCTGCATCAATGTATACTTCTCAAAGAAACTTTTTTTTTCTTCTTTTTCCCCCTTGTCATGTGTGCGTACCACTAGCAAAAAGAATCCGCGGCTTTATGTATATGGTTTGAGCGATTGGACTTGAGGCCGTATCTTTTTCCCGTCCTGGAATCATGTGTGATACTCTAGTGAGCTTGGATCTGGTGCTGTCTTTTTCTCCATTTTCATGGTCGGCGTAAATACAGCGTTGTTCGAGATCGGGGCATTAAAGTCATTATACGGTGCTCTCTATCTTTATTGTTCATGGGACCTAACCTATTCACTCAATACAAATAAATAATGCATGTCACCTGATGATGACATTCAAGTCCTAGACATACATCTATCTATTGGTCGTCGGAAAGTAAGATTATGTGTGCTACCATCGCCTCAATTCGCGCTGTACATATATTTGAGCACCGGGTACATACATACAAAGATACGAACGTAGCTAAACACAGACCGAATAAAAGAGCAAGGGCAAACACGCAGGCAAAGTGACACTTGGAACAGGGCGTTATCCTAGCAATTTTAAGGAAACAACAGATAAAGCAAAGAAATGGCATAGGAAATGGGTATACACTTCAATTCGACTCAAACGGGTAAAATAACTAACACTCACAAATGGACTCGTTCATTGGTGAGAAGACGGAGATAACATAAAACAGCATAACATAGCACAACATGCACGAACAGCAAGCATTCCGTCAAGGAATGGGACAATGGAGTGGTAATTTTAGATTGATTCAAGGAATCACGTAGGTTACGCAGACAGACAGACAGGCTGGCAGACCTGCTAGAATGTGACGGGGATGAAAGAGATGATGATGGTGTATGATGCTTGAGATCCACCTTACTAGCTGTGTCCGTCTCTATCCTCTTCGAGAGGCGCGTCGGGCTGGCAGGGTTGTTGCACGTGCTTTTTTGGTGCTTGGTGGTGGGGATGATGGAGGTAGTGATGGTGGAGATGATAGGTCGCTGCCGTCGTCGTCTTCTGAATCCTGGACGTGATTGTTGTTTGCATGGTTGTTTTCATTTTCTTCGTTGTCCTCTTCTTCAGCTTCAGCTTCGTCTTCATCCTGATCCCAGTCATCCATTTCAACGTCATCTTCGTCGCTGTCGTGATCTGCATAACTGACTCTACGAGAAGTACCCCTGCTGCTGCGTCTGCGGGCAGTGGCAGTGCTGGCTTTTGCGGCGCCCTCATCTGATGACCAACCGTCTTCGTCCTTGTTCTTCCGCTTAGGTGTCCTTGATGTTGCGCCTGAGGACTTCCGGGGCCGTGTAACTTTCTCCTTAGCTTTCTTTACTTTCTTGGTTGTTCCGGCTTCACGGGTTGTCTCGGTGGACTCGGGCTTCCTCTTCTTCGCGGCATGGCCTTGTGACCCGCCCTTTGATCTCATCACGGTCCGCACGAGCCGATCTAGTAGGTCATCAACGTCTTCCGAGAGGAAGTTTTTCTCAGCTACTTCCTGGGCTTCGCGGTGGCTGCTCATCGGGGCAAAGATTGAGCTCGGGAGACCCATCTTGCCGGGGTACGTCTGCAGAATATTAGTGCCACCAGCTCCGCCGCCGAACCTGCGCTGCTGTGAGTAAATATCGGCGAATCGGCGAATGGTAGACTGAGCCAGGTCCGAAAGCGTATGCAGACGTGTGGTGATTTCATCGGACTTGGTAATACCGTCACGTGTCTGCTTGACACGTTGGGCGATATGGAAAATGAGCGAGAGGTTATGTTCATTAGCTATCGCGGAGAGATAGAAGAGAATGTAGCGGCTAAAGTCGGTCAGATCGCGAGCTTTCGTTTCCTCATCCAAATCTTTAGGGGGGTAGTCAGGATGATAAGCTAGTAGCGACAACAAGCGCGAAAAGATGGACTCCATAACTGGGTCGGTCTTCTTGCCACCATTTTGAGAAAAGAAGGTCGCGCGGGATCGCAACCATGTCAAAGTGCTGTCCTTCAGACTAGCATTTGGTTCAAACGCGAGCAGGAATGTGATGATATACCAACGGTGGCTCAAGCGCGAATTTGGTACCAGTTTCTTCTTGAGTTCATTGATAAACCCAATCCTTACAGGCGCAAGACAATCTTGGGCGACTAGAGCAAGAGCATTGAAGTCTTGAGGCGCAAGTAAATGGTCACAGATGCTATGAGATGCGCATAATTTGAGTAATGACTTAGCGGCCAGAAGACGTAATCGTGACTTTTGCCCTCCTGGTGTGTCTTTTTTCTTTGACAACTCTCCCTCACCGACCACAAGTTTGTTGAGAGTACTATAAACAGGTTCGGCATGAGCACGGAAATCGTCTTCACCGTCAGAGCCTCCCTTGGCGCGTAAACGGTTGACAATAATCTTGAGAGCCCATTCTTTAGCAGCAGTTTCATCATCCACGGTGTCTGACCACATATACTTGTCTTCTGGCTTCGGAGAACGATTTGTCAAGAGGATTTTATTGACAGCGATAGAGATTATGGCGTCACTCTCCTCATCTGCCTCCCTTGGGGCTAAGAGGTTCAGCTGAGATAGCGTAGCTAACTTGGTGAGGAATCGATCTGTTCCATATTTCCACTTAGAAACACACTTCTGGACCAGGTCCTTAGCGTACATCTCTTTGCGATCTGCAGTGGCCATGAGGATTGAGACAGCGTGCTTGGCAGCCCGAGGTGATGGGCTATATAACGCATAATTGACAAGGGCCTGGAAAAACTTGCGCTCTTTGGGCAGCTTCGCCGGCAGCTTCTTTGCAAACCCAGAGCAAGCCTTGAGGATCTCTTCGGTTCCAGTATCCTTACTAGTTTCAGCTGATGGTGCTTGCGATTCGAGGTCCTTGCACATCTCTTGAACCTGAGCCTCTAATACCTCAGGATTCCGGGATGAGATCTCCCGCAACATTTCATGTGCGGGGCTTGCCAATCCATTCTCATCTGTCCGCGAAAGGCTTATAATTGCTGGAATGTGGCTCCGGTTGAAAACAAGGGAGCTACAGCGGTAAAGAAGGGGGGTCAGAGTCTCAAGTAAAGGAGAGTTGTTAGAACTTTGCAATCGGCGTGCGAGCTCCTTGATGGCCTTGATGACCGTTCGGTAATCACTGACCGCGGCCATTGCAAAGCGAACCAACTGGTAGCTGCGCCGGTCATGTACTTTGGCAAATTTCCAAAGATCTGCGGAAGCCCTTGACGCGTCAGGAAAGAGCTTTGACAATGTATCAATCACTCGACTAATTTGAGCTGTGATCCGTTCGTCGTCTTTCTCCATCACACCACCCTGTGTTCACCTGATATCAATATGTGATTACCTATACAAGTAGCGAGGCACTTACATTATACTCTTCGCAGGCCTGGAGATAGACTGTCACAGCTGTCCTCATCTGAATTTGCCTGGCCTGCATTGCAAAGAAAACCTTCTTTGCTTTGTCGTCCAATCCACTAATTAGGGTTAAGATGCGACGGACGCGGATCTTGTCAACGTCTGTCTCATTATCGCCCTCTGACGTCTGTGAGTCTTTCAGTCTTTGAGACTGCGTCGAGCTACTCCGCGATAGTTTAGGCTTTATCGGTGGGTAGCTAAGTGGAAGAAGGATCTCAAACAAAACGCGATCGATCAGCACATGGATATCCATGTCATTTGTGTAAAAGGCATCGAAGATCTTTGACGGCCCATCCTTGAACAAAGATACTACTTGCTCGTTATCTTGCTCAATCTCACCTGCCGCAACTGCCCACATCCGGCCCAGGGTTTTCATAGCATGTTCCCGGACCTGTGGTTTTCGGTCTTTGACGCGCTCCGCCAAGATAAAAAGTATAGAATCTTGGGATGAAAAGCCGCCGCTGGCGCCCAATTTGTGAACAATGTGAGACAGACCAAATGTACCCACCGCGTCGACTGCTGCTACTCGGACCTTCTCATCTGCATCTCGAAGCATAGATGCCAGGTGTTTGATGAGCATCTGCTCCTCACTTTCGGCCAGGCCAGAGCCACCGGCCGATGTTAACAATATCCGACCAACCACAGTGGCCCATGCGGCCCTTACTGAGGCAGACTTGTCCAATCGTCGACTCAGGAAGCCCTCGTATGTGGAGCTATGCGCCTGCGAGAATGGCTTGGGCGAGAATGGCTGTACAAGCACGTTTGGCTGGGGGATGGTCTGCGAATAGTCTGACAAGGTCACCGGCGGATAGGCTGCAGGATCCATTGGTGGAGGGGATGGTGGCCCGGCAACTCCAATTCCAGCCGTGAGGTCACCGATTGTCTGCGTAGCTAGCAGGCGCAAAGACACGGACTCTGCGGACAGTTCTGCCTCCAGCTGGGGAACCACATTCTGTAACACCTCGGGACAGGCCCTCCAAAGTTCTCGAATCAGACGGTGTGCCTTGCTCAGCTCTTTAATATCCTCCCCTTCTTCGTCTGAATCATCAAGATTGGGTCGGCGATGAGAGTTCTTCGACGGACCGTTCGCTCCTGTCGCAGAGGCATCGATGATGACATTATTGAAATACTGGCTAATATGGCTAGTCATCCTCTCTGGGCAGGCTTGGCAAATTGCCTTCGCCATGTTATACGCTGGGGGGTAGTCCTTCAAAAGTAACGTTCCCTGTTTGGCGTCGACCGGAGTATCGGCCTTCTTCCCTCTCCTGCTAGGGTTCTCCAGAGCACGTGGGTCGATGCGCAGGAATTGGGCGACGATAACATCCACAACATCTGCAGCAAGTACTGGCGTCTCATCGATCACCGTTACAAGCAGGCGGGTCATGTCAAATTCAACATTCTTCGCGATGTCCTCGCCCGTGGAAGCTTTGGAAGAACCAGAGACAATGTCAAAGCAAGTAGTAAATAGCGGAATAATTAAAGCATCCGGGTGATCGAGGTCTGTCATTAAAACGATACTCTTCACTTCTGCTAGTGAGTTCAGCACATAGATA